CGGTTGTCAGTATGCACTACTTAGGGTAGACACCAGGGCTGGCTCCTTGCTAGGGACCTGATGAGTGCTGTGTGTGATTGCATTCTGATGTGTGTGTGTGTGTGTGTGTGTGTGTGTGTGTGTGTGTGTGTGTATTATCCATATTTTAAATAAAAGGAAGTTGAGGCCCAGAGAGGTTGAGCATGCTAGGGATAGGATTGAAACTCAGGCAGCCCAACCCCCGAGTCTGACCTCTTAATCCTGAATGTCCATGAGATGGAGGAGTAAACCAGTGAGTGAGACAGTAGGTGTGAAAGAAACAATCCTGGAAGGCTGCCTGGAGGAGTTAGCTCTCGGACTGGAGAGGACAGCTGTGACTTGGTTGTAATGAGTAAGGGGAGGGTCTTCTTTAAGGCCTGGGTGCCAAGAGGGATGAATTGTATAGGAAGAACATCATGTCCAGTGACCTGTCTAGAGCTTTGGGACTCTACACAGGAGATTTAGGACAACGTCATTGGATGGTGATAAATCGTCGAACTGGGAACCCAAAGATTGGCTTTCTCTCTGGTGCTAGTACCATCACTTTGTGATTTTTTCCCCCCAGGGATTGAACCCAGGGGCACTTAACCACTGAACCATCTCCCCAGGCCCTTTATTATATTTTATTTAGAGACAGGGTCTTGCTGAGTTGCTAAGGCCTCCATAAGTTGCTGAGGCTGGCTTTGAACTCATGATCCTTGTGTCAGCCTCCCAAGCTGCTGAGATTATAGGCATGGGCTACCGCGCCCGGCTTGCTATGTGATCTTGATGCAGCGATTTGACTCTCTGGGCCTTTGTTCTGTCTCTAAAAGGAGCAAGTTGGATTAGAAGCTCTCCAAGGTTCCAGACGGCTCAGATATTTTGCATGTCCACAAGATGGAAAGCAAATGAGGGACCTGGAAGGGCGTTTTGAAGCCCTCCTGTGGGGCTGTGGGGCTGAGAGATGAGACGTGACTCCCTCCTGGCTAGCTGTGCCCTGGCCTGCGTTCTCAGAAAGCTGAGCTGGGGCGCACAGCACATTTTCTCTCTAATTAGAGAGTGTGAAGTTATCCATTTTGAATGAGATAAGTTTCCATGCATGATGTCCCCAACTGCTCCCTGAAGTGCTCATTAGTCACTTCCCTGCAGCTGCCTTATTGTTTTCCAGATGCCACCAAGGGACTTGGCATTTCCCTTTCCAGAGATGGGGCAGGCGCTGCTCAGAGGGGCTGAGGAGGCCCCAGGTCCTTTGCTCTTCATCCCTGTCCCTGCCTGAGTCATCATCTAACATTGGAGGCCTCAAAGCCGAAGGTGTCTGCTTTGGGAAATGGCTTTGGAGGGCCACCGCTGAACTGAAAAAACACTGGTTGAGTACTTAACTCAAGTAAGGCACCTTGCATCTGGAATCTGAATGCTCCCTAGACCTGGGGGGTACAAATGAAGTCATCCTAGTGTTAATGTCCAAATTACCATAACCGCAGCCTGGCCCCCTCAGAGCCTCCGCTCAGTATTTAAGTTGCCCGTAGGGTAGTGCTTCCTACTTGCAATAGCTTGCTCCTGGGCTGCCTTTCTTCCTATCTTCCCCAGCCCCAGGATGTGCAGTGGGACCCCTCCTATATGGCAGTCTCTTCCACGACCGCCAGGTGGCACTGTGACCCTGCAGTTGAGGCAGCAGACACCGTGGAGGAGAAACAGGTTGTGCAAAGGGAGGCCTGTGCCAGTCTCTTCCTTGAGGCCTGTGGACCAGGCCTGAGAAATCTAGGGAGGATGCTGGGCCGCTGGTCCCAGGACCAGTGTGACTCAGCCTGGGAAGGCTGAAGCAGAAATCCTCTCTCCACTCTCCTCCTTCCTCTGCCCGGCTCATCAGGGAACTGATTGCAGCTGTGAAAGTTTTGACACACCCAGAAAATTCCAAGGGGGGAAATTTCCCACATGTCTTTCTCTATAATTTTCCAGGCATTCAGGTCTTCAAATACATTAACCATGATTTCTTTAAACAAAAAACGAGATATGCATAATGCATTGCACGTTCTTAAAATACGCAAATGACTTCACACTGGGAAAGGAGGAGGCTTGGAAAAAACTGTATGACAGAGAGTTTAGATTGATTTTCTTCTGTGAGAAATTCTGCTTCTCCCTGACGGGCTCTTTCCTCGCTCATCTCCCTCAGTCCTGTCCTGGCCTGTTGCTGTTTCTCTCCTGCTTTGAGCTTCCCCCTTTGGTCTCAATTCCTCTTCCCTGGCCCTCTGTGTCCCATCCCTCCGTGGGTCGGTAGTTCTGCTCCTTTTCTGCTGTCTCTTGCCTCTGAGCACGTGGACTGGTGTCTTCCTCTGTGTGGCTGTCTTCCTCTTGGAGGTTCCTCAGCTCTGATTCTGTGAGAGTGTCTCAAGCCACAGCTACTTTGCCTGTGCTCCACCTTCTTCTCAGCCCAGATGGCCCCCTGCTGCCATCCCCTGCTCAGTCTAGGTTTGGGCCCAGTGGGGCCTCTGTGCCTGTGTGGAGAGTATCCCTAGACCTCTGCTCTCCCTATTCCACAGGAAGTTCTCTTTCTAGGAAGAACAGACCCTCTGTCCACTCCTGCAGGCCCTGTGGGCTACCTGGAGGGTCTCCCTGCATGAAACTGTTCCCTGCCCTTACTCTAATGACTCTGTCTTCATGTCTTCTGAGACACACCCTAATTTTATAGTTCAGAAAGAGCAGTGACTACCTCAAGGTCACTTAGGTGATGCAGATAGTGGGGCATGGAGCTGGGATTGGACTCAGGTCTCCTAGTTGACCTTCACTTGACTTGTGCTTCTCCAGATACTGGAGAGGGAACTGTGTTGATTGTTGAGAGAGTTGGCTGTGGAGCTGGTGGCTCTGTCCCCAGATGGGCAGCTCATCTTCCTCTTCTGGGACTCACCTTTCCCACCACACAAAAGAGATATCCTTGCTTTGCCTTGCCACCCTGTGGGGTTATCATGGGCATCAATTTCACATCTATGGGATGGGAAAGTGCTTAATGAATAAATAAATTTAAATAAAGGGTTTGAAAAATAAATTGAAAGGTCTGGAGCTGAGCATGACCAGCCCCCTTGGTGGGATCTGGGCTCAGCAGGTTGTGGCCACATCTCTGATCAGACCCTAGTGGGTCTGACCCCAGATTTCTGGTGTCTCCTTGGTTGGTCCTGCTGCCTCTGGGCTTAAGGTATAAAAAGCTGTTCTGTTCGCCGGGCACAGAGGCAAGATCCTGTAGTCTGAGCAGCTTGGGAGGCTGAGGCAGGAGGATCATGAGGCCACAGCGAGGGGCCAAGTAACTCAATGAGACCCTGTCAATAAATAAAATACAAAATAGGGCTGGGGATGGGGCTCAGTGGTTGAGTGCCCCTGGGTTCAATCCCTGGTACCCCTGCCCCAAAAGCTGTTGGGTGGTCACAGGACAGGATCCAGCCTTATCCAGATTGGGAGGACCTTAGGTCTCCTGGAAATTGTGCGCACAACAGTGTTCTCTGTCTTGGGAAAGAGAATGGTCTCCTCATCTGATTCCCTCCTGGGGAGTCCTTGGCCTGTGACAGGTCTGGGCTATCTAATCTACATCCCCTTGGCAGTGACACCCAACCGTGGAGAGAGTGACCTCTGGGATGGGACTGGCTGCCTCTCATCCATCAGCTACGTGACTTTGGGCTGCCACTCAGCTTTTCTGGCCTGAAAGCCCTTGACTGTAGCATAGAGGCCACAGTCAGCCCCGGCAACTCCCACCAGCCAGGCTGGGGCTGGGGGTTATGGGTAATTTCTCCTCAAAGTTCCCAAACCCAAGCTGTTGACATGGAATGATGGGGGAGGGCACAGGCAGGTGGCAGAATTGCCCCCCCCCAGTGAATGGGGACCTCACTCCCATCATGGTGACATTTGGTTCCTACACTCCCCTGACTGTCCTCGCTGTTGTCTGCCTGAGAGTGCATGGGACCCAAGTTTTGTGGGCATAATAAACACTTTAAAATGACTGTGATCTTTTCATTTTAAAGAAGAACACAAAATCCATTGTTGAACCAAAATCTCTTTGATATTGCAACTGGTGGTGCGTGGCAGGGACTCCCTCCCCGCTTGTGACTCTGAGCATGAGGAGTGACAAGGCGGTGGGAAAGGATGAGGTGGTAGGAATCGAGACTGTAACAGGGGAGACCTGGCCTCGGCCCTTCCCCTCCTGGGCCTCCGTTTCTCCACTGTAATGTGAGGGGTCAGGCTAGATGGACTCTAGAAGTGGTTTACAAACTGAGCCTGCAAAGTTTTGGCCATTCTTTGGGGGACCCACTGGGGGCAGGGGGCCCAAATGGTGGGAACCGAAGCCCCAGTAGCTCCAGCGGATTCCCTTTTATTTTTCATTCAAAAATAAAAAAGGGCCTATGATTGGACAAATGGCGACAGCAAAGCTGACTGAACTGGGAGTGGCTGGGCCTGGTGCCGAGGCCTCCGCAGATGCTCCCTGAATGCTCCTGCATCTAGATCCAAGCCTCTCACTCAGCCAAGGTGCTCACCCCTCGCTCCCCCCATGTGCATGTAGTGACATGGGCAGTGGCTCTGCCTTTCCAGGAAGGTGGGGAACTGGCTGCCACCAGAGTTCCAGTGACTATGGTTTTAATCCAATCTTGGCTTGCAGTGGCCATTCCTGCTGGGTGGCTGCTTAGCCTCTCTGGAGGTGACCGGCTGGCCACTGACGTGGACTGCATCTTATCCTTCCCTCGCATCATCTAGGGCCTGAGCCAGTCTTGGAAAGGCTTGGCACTCTCAGCTTCATCCCTACAGGGGCCTGGTCCTGGCCTGCCCATGGATGCCTTGCAAGGCTGTCCAATGGGTCTTATCACTGATGCTGCTGCCTGTGCCTCAGTCTCCTCATCTTGACAGGAGGGATGGGATGGGAGGGAACCTCTATTTCATGCTGTGGCTTGCTGGGCTGGCCTTCCCCAGTACCCCACAGTTGTAGCCTAGGGCTCAGAGAGCAGTAGGGGCTTCATTTGCAGTGTTTCAATCCTTGAATGTCTATACTGAGAGGACCAAGCCTGAGGAGATGGTTCAGGCTTGTGGTTTTTAATTCCAGAGTCCTGCAATTAAATTTTCTGTGAAGGAGTTTCAGGTGAATTTCAAAGGGAAAGCTGAGAGGTAGGGAGGGCTCTGTGACCCCCACTTTGTGTATCTACTTTAAATTTAGGAGACTTGAAAAAAAGATGGGATCTTTCCTATTTTATGATGTAAAGTCAGAGGACTGAAGAGAAGAGGCAGTTTATTAAAAGCCACAAAGAGAATCAATGGCTAATAATAATAACTATACCTATGGAGGACGTACTATGTGCCAGGCATGATGTATGGTTGATCTTTTTTAGCATAAACCACTGAGTAGGATGATTATATCCTCAATTGGCAAGTGAGGAAACTGAGGCACCGAGAAGTGAAAGGATCACAGAGCAGGGATTTGAACTTGACCACCTCTGGGAACTCTTCACCTTGGTCTAGTGCTCCTGACTGTGCACTACTGGGTTCCTTGCTGGGCACCAGGGAAGGCAGCCTTTTTTGGTCCTTTCCTTCTCCTGGATCTGGCATCTTCAACACAGGCCTGGGCTTCTGACTCAGAGCCAGCCACTCGGCATCTGGGGTGGGGAGAGATAGTAGGAATGGAGTCCCAGGATGGAGAGATGTACTCTGAAGATGGAAGAAATGGAAGATTAAGTGAGGCCTTTGTGATAAAGACAGCTGGGAGGAGTAGAGGTAGAAAGATGCCATTCTGACTCTTTCCCTTGTGGAATTTCTATGTGACCTTGCAGAGATCACCTAACCTCCAGCCACCTCATCTGTTAAATGGGCCAGAGACTCCCATTATTCAGGAGATAATAGTCAAGGAGACCTTTTCAGTTCGTCAAGGGCCACATGTTCAGGCGGGGTGTGTGTCATGACAGTGGGTACTGAATAGGGTGAGATGCTGCCACCTCTGACCTTGTTTGGACAAAGCAAGGTGAAGTTAAGAACAGCTGGGATTTATAACTGGCTTCTTGCTCTTACCTGCTCTGTGTGCCTGGATTCTTGGACCCTCTCTGTGTCTTTCGGCCATGGTACATGCTCAGTGTGTAAATTGCTTCCCACTGCTCAGCAGCAAGGAAGGAGCCAGATGAGTGGGTAGTCTAGCTTTACATGCTGCCACCATTGCAGGGAGTTCCCTCCCAGCACCTGAAATCACAGCTGGAAGAGTGGCTTCTCCTGGCTCCATCGCTAGCCTCTGACCTTGGGTAAGTCACTTACCCTCTTTCTGCCTCATCGGGATGAGGGATGAGGGATGCAATGTTTCCTCTTTGGACCTTGAGAGGTATTTTATTTTGAGAAGCAAGGTCGAGAATGGCTAAAAAATGCTTTGGGGGAAAAACAGCCTAATACAAATGTAAGAGCTTCTTGTGACTTTATCATCCTGCTTGTTATGCTCTTGCTTTCTCTTCCAGCATTTGGCCTTGAAGCCAACCTGGAAGCAGATGCTTGGTAGAGCCTTAATGAATGGAGACAAGTCGCTGTGCAGCAGAGCAGAGGTGACCTGGAGACCTGCTGCTCCTGCCATGGACAAGTCATGGGATTTGGGGCTAGCCCCAACCCTCTTGGCTTCTGCTTCCCACATGAAAATCACAGCATTGGGCTAGGTAATCTCTAGGGATCCTCCCCCTCAGATGGCTCTGAAATGACAAGGAGTGAAGTGTGACTGCTCTTTCTCACCCATTAAGTGATTTCTAAGTGTTTATTGCTCGTCCACTCTCAGCCAGCCTCATTTCACTTTCCCCCTTACTACTGCCGGGAAGGGCAAGGCACCTCAGGCAGCTAGCTAGCCAGGCCCGTGCCCCAGTTTACAGCTGAGGCTCTGGAACTTCAGAGAGGATAGATGGTTTGCCCCAAGTCTCACAATTAGCAAATGTCAGGGCTGGGATTCAAACACAGGTCATGGGTCAAACCCAAAGGTCCTGCTTATCCCATCTGCCACATTGCCTGTCTCCCATTTCTCAGCCTGGCTTCCCTCTCCTCCCCAGGAGCTCTGGCCTCTGGAAGCCAGCCAGTCCTTTAACACGGTTTGGCTCCTTTCAGGTTGTCTCTCTACTCCCCAGACCATTAAACGGCCACCCCCTTTTCCCCTCCAGTCCCGTCCCACCAGAGTTCTAACTGTGGAGTGGAGAGTGAGGCTGACGGTGCTCTTTCACGGTCAGCCTCTTGCAGGTTCAGCCAGGTGAGAGTTCACCTGGCGACCTGGATGTGTTTCTAGCAGGTTGCATGACCTTGGGCTGGTTGCCCTCTACAAGATTAGGCCGGTTCTGCAGTGCGGGTCTCTGGGGGGAGAGCAGGTGCTGCTGGCTCCGGGCGAGGATAATGAGCGCTCCTCACGCACCTTGCTCCCTCAGAGTTACCATCTGCTTGGCAGATGCGCCTCCCAGGCCTCTGGGGTTGCCCCACTCTCCCCCATGGGATAGAAGAGCCTACTCTTCGGCTCAGGCCATAGTCTCTTGCCAGGGTTCATGGTTGTTGCTGGAAAGGAGGTCCCCGGGGGCAGAGTAAGGCAGGCCCGGGACGTCCCCGGCGGAGAAAGGAGGCGCCGAAAGTCGGGCAACCCGGGCAAGCCCGGCGTAATGAGGCGCTCCCCTCTCCTGCCGGAGGCGGGGCTGCCTTCCCTCCCCCTCCTCCCACCGAGGCCCCGCGGGAGCAGGGCGTCGCGGGCAGGGTGTCGCGAGCTGGGCCTTCAGGGCCTACGCAGTGAACCCGGGGCCGGGGGTGAATTTCTAGCCGCTGAAGGTCTGAAGTGGGGCTCAAGTGTGGTAGGGGACCGGGACGAGGGAGGCTCTGTCCGTGTGTCGCCCTGGTGCTCTCGGATCTTTTGCCCTGGCCTCTGGCCTCCAGGGAGGTCAGTATCCGCGTCCTTCCCCGCGTGTGCATCGCGGGTCCTCTCCCCGCAGCTGCCCTCGGGAGGCAGAGCTCGGGCTGGCGGGGCTCGG